TTGAGAAATCATACATCTGCAGTAGATTCAGATGGCATATTTATGTGATTTTTCTATAACTATGCTTGAAAACCTAGAAGGAAAAGAGTAAAAGATGGTGGGTTTCACTTGACTTGGGAATTGATGGAGCAGAGACAACAGAAAATGGGGAAGGGGGTGTCAAAGGGGGTGTCAAATTCAGGGTGCTGGTTTAGGCTACTAAAGTAATTATCACGGAGTCTACGCTGGCAGACATGGAGAATGAGAAGTTGAATCAACATGTAGGGAAGGAGGATGGTACCGAAGCCAAAAGCAGTAAATTAGAAATCAGAAATCCCTGGTTATGGTCACAGATCACTCGCAGTAAGTTGAGTATCCTCAGCAAAGATCAAATTTTAAGGGCCTGTTTTTTTTCTCTCCTGGGTTGAAATATGTAAGATGCTAAGAACAGTGACTTGCCTACAGTGACCACTCTGCAACTATTTTAGCAATTACTCTTAAATGTTTTAAAATTATACAGTATTTAAGACACACATATGAAGTATAACAAAATAAACACCAGGAAACCCACTATCCAACTTATCAGACTACTACTAATACTCTGTATTTCTTCCTGATCTCATCACCCTGGCCTCTTCCCTAGAGATGACCACTATCTTTAACTTTGTGTTTATCATTCTCTCTCCTTTTTTAAAAAAGTCATGGTTCACATTTATATAAGGCCTATTTTTTCATATGTAAGATGGAAGCTTTGGATTAGGTGCTAAACTCTCTTCCAGCTCTATATGAGATTATGATAGGTAAATATCAAAGTTACATACCTAGTGGAACCGTATCAATGCTTATTTTTCAAGGGGTTTATAAAGCTAAAACACTGACATCTGTCGAAATCTCCAATTCAACAAAAGGATATCTCAATATAGTTTCTAATCTCAAGATCAAGACTTTCCATCACTTTCAATTTGCACCTCTGCTATAAAGATCTACTCAAGAGAAAACCAACACAAGGAGCTAAATAATCTAAGCCCCTGACCCTGTCCGATGAAAACCTCAAACCCAAGTCTGAGTAAATAGAACTGAAACAGATGAACTTGAAAAGCACACTTTATCTCAGTGATAAGCATTTTAATAAAAAACAAGAGGCATGGTCGGGTTCATAAGCAGTAGTGTTTCATACCACTTGATTTCCTCTTTGTATATATATATAAGATATAAAACAACTAAGCTTGTCTTCTTCAGGTTTTCTCAAAGTTTCTTACACTAGTTTAAACAGTTTTTAAATAAGGTAAACACAAATGCAAATCTGATCAAATAGCTATTCTCTAAGGTTATTATCCAGCCTAGGATGCTGTTCTTCCCAGCTATAAACAATCTTAGATTTCATATTTGTCTCACTAGTTACCTAGTTGGACCAGGCAGTGAATTGCTGTATGCCTTGGACTGAGTCCCCCCAAAGTTTGACCTGCACTTTGACAGTGTTAAGAGGGTGGGAAATCCTATTATGGTAATTGAAATGTGGGGCCTTGAAGAGGTGATTAGATTCTGATGACCATGCCCTAATGAATGGATTAATAATGGTGGTCATGGCAGTGGTTCTGAAAGCTTTAAAAGGAGAGCACATGAGAGTCTCTCTCTCTCTGCTCTGCCATTCTCACCATGTGACAACCTGTACTGCCATAGAATCACGTCAGGAGATGTGTTCCCTGGACTATGGACTTCCTGGCTTCCAAAACTCTAAGCAATAAATTTTGTTTTCTTACAAATTACCCAGTTCCAGGTATTTTGTTGTAAGCAACAGAAATGGACTAATACAGAAAACTGGAACCAGAGAAATGGGTGTTAGGCAAAGGTTGGAGGAGTTTGGAGGACTCAGAAGATGACAAAAAGACAAGGGAAAGTTTGGAATGTCTTAGAGACTGGTTACATAGTGGCGACCAGAATGCTGATAGAAATATGGACTTTAATGTCCATTCTAAGGAGGTCTCAGATAGAAATAAGCAGTTTATTGGAAACTGGAGCAAAGATCACCTTTGCTATCAACTTGCAAGGAACCTGCCTGCATTCTGTTCATGCCCAAAAGCATGGAATGTGGAACTTCAAGGTGCTGACACAGGGTATTTGGTGGAAGAAAAAAATTTCTTCTTTTTTTTTTTATTAAAAAGATGACCAGTAAGGGGATCTTAACCCCTGACTTGGTGTTGTCAGCAACACGCTCTCCCAAATGAGCTAACTGGCCATCCCTATATAGGGATCCGAACCTGTGGCATTGCTGTTATCAGCACCACACTCTCCCAAGTAAGCCATGGGCTGGCCCTCAAAAATGGGTATTTTCTTAAAGGTCTCTTCCTACCAAGGCCAGTCCAGCTTTGATCACTTAGAATATAATATAAAAATTGCTTTTTTATAACCTCCCTCTTTAAAAATGGTAAAATTAAGTATAATGTTATCTCCTCATTTTTTCCCCATTTTGGAGCTTAATGTGAATTGTAAAAAGTACAACTGAAGGACTCCAAGAATGCCAGTACAGTATATACTGTATACATTTTGTCTAAGAGACTAATGCGAGCAGCTGCCGTTCTGCCTCACCAATGAAGGGGTAGTGTGATGTATTATTTGAAATTAAATCCAAATACTCTCTTTGTTTAGCTCAGGAACAGCTACCAAGAGAGCTAAGCATCACTTATCACCTACATTTGTTTATTCCTGGTGAGAACATTTGCAAATCACAATGGCACCTCTAGAACCCTTACAGAGAAAGGCAATCTCTCAAAAAGCAAATCTTCTCCTTGAGGTAGAGTATGGAAGCTCTGGTTAAGACCAGAATGCAGGGGCCGGCCCGGTGGTGCACTGCTACAGTGCGCCGCTTGGGAGCGCGGCGGCGCTCCCACAGAGGGTTCAGATCCCACATACAGACCGGCCGCTCACTGGCTGAGCGAGGTGCGGGCGCAACACCAAGGGTTGCGATCCCGTTGCCGGTCCCGGTCCGGTACGGGCACGACACTGAGGGTTGCGATCCGTTGCCAGTCACGAAAAAAGACAAAAAGGGAAAAAAAAAAAAAAAAGACCAGAATGCAGGACTCAAAGTTTAGCTGTCTAGGCTAAACCTTTTAAACACCCCTGCATTTAAACTTTAACCGTAACACTTGAAATTGAGGCAGAATATTCAACTGTTTACTTTCCACTATTCACATTCCAAAGGAAGGGGATCCTCTGAAAAAGAAGATCTCAAAGATAAGTAAGTTTCTGACAGCAGTAGAGATAAAGAACTACTTCTTTGTACTAGTTCTTGGGATTCTCCAAAAATTTCTAGCAAACTAAATCCAGATTAGTGAATCCTAGGCGCAATAAAAACACTAAGCAGTCTCTTAATACTTGTGGACCAAATTGGCAGCTTTAGTCATTGGTGTACCAAAAAACAACAGGATTGTCTATTCTGTGAGCTAACAAAATTAACACAGGCAAGGCACTCTCCTATAATGAGTGCTGATCACACTCCAAAAGATCAGATGTTTTGTGATTAAGTTCTAGGAGTCATGAGCAAACAGATGTCCTCCTAAAATAACAAAATTAAGTTTTTCATGAATGACTGATGGGCTTTAGATATTTAAAAAGCACAAAGTAACTATTTTCTATTTAATTCCTTGGTTGAGTTGTAGTCAAGTAGGTAATCCTTTGCAGTGGGACACACACCACTACTTGTTTTTCCTAAACTAGATAGGAGTTCTGGGTTACAAGTGTAGTACAGACAGTTTTGTTCTGTCATCACCAAAACAAAATAGAAAGGGTTTTGTATTTTCCAGTAATATGACTACTTTAAAATAAAGTTGTTGTGAGATGTTGATACACAAACATAAATGATCAGAATAAGGGGGCATATGGTTGTTAATTTTTTCCTCCTCAATATATTACCACCCTCTCCAGAAGAAATAGTCTAATTATTCACTTAAGATCACACAGCTAGAAGCAGAAATACTATTATATTGGGGCTTATCTTGAGCCTGTTTTTAGAGCTTGGAACAAAATAAACAGAGAGCTCTGCTTCATTAGGAAAGAATCCTATTTTCAGTATAACTCTTGAAAGGAGGCATTCCACAGAAGCCCACTCCCGCTTCTTATCTGTTAACTGCAATCAATGCTAGAGAGATCATTTTTGAAAATATTTGTCACTATGTCTCATCCAAGTCCCTATCTATAGAGATCCCAAATTCTTCCCCACACTAGTTTTAAAACCGAACTAAACCTGAAAACACCCAAATAAAAAAAATAATCCAAACAAAAAACTGGTCCAGGGAGATTATGAAGTCTCCTTGTATGGGCCCATAACATGCTAGGACAGCCAGAGCCTTGAGTGTTTCAGAGATCTAACTTGTTATACACACAGAGTAGTCAGTAGGGCCCTCACACATTTACACTTTGAAGCTTAATCAAATTTCACACACAGGTGGAAAGCCTATCTCTTTTCTCATGTATACTGGTTTCTCCCCTCCATTCCAATCTTCATCCCTACACGATCCACACACCTAGTTTGACAGCTAGTACAACTCCTACCTGGAATGTGGGGAGATAAATAAACCTACTCTAGGTTAGAAATATTGAGGTAGCAAGATGTCCTAAAAGATTCTCAAAGAATAGGGTGTTTTGTTATATAAATGGAATCGACATCTTAGAGACTATGGATAAACAGGTGCACTGATTAGAAAAAGACCATTTCTTTTTTTTTTTTTTTTTAAAAGATGACCGGTAAGGGGATCTTAACCCTCAACTTGGTGTTGTCAGCACCACGCTCAGCCAGTGAGCGAACCGGCCATCCCTATATGGGATCCGAACCCATGGCCTTGGTGTTATCAGCACCGCACTCTACTGAGTGAGCCACAGGCCGGCCCGAAAAAGACCATTTCTATAAATGCTAAAAAGAATTTGGTCCACATGTGTCAGAGAAAACAAGTACACACTTTTTCCAACTCAAGTTTCCTGTGTACTTTAGCTGGACACTTTAGATAACTTTAAATCATTATGTTTCATTAATATGGAATGAGACGTGACTTCTAATCTTGTGGCTGCAAGTACTTAGTCAAACTACCAAGCTATCTACAGTGACGATTTATTTGGAAGTTATTCTGAATATGAGGGTCCTTGCATCAAAGTGGGGAGGAAAAAAAAGTTCTTTTTCAGTATGAAAGTCACAGTTTATCATTCTATAATTAGATTAGAAGAAAAACGAATAACCCACTGATAGCAGGAAGAAGCAAGAGTCTTCTAGGGTCTGGCATCTGTGAGGAAATGGGAAAAAAAAAAGAGTTCTTAGTTCCTTTTGGTGACAAAAGCACCACTACATCTGACAATGGGCCACACAAGTATAACCCAATTGTTCTTCTGGAGGTATCTTCTGTTGATAACAGAACACCAAGTACCTTCTGACCCTTAGATCTTTAGTACCACTAAGCACACAGAAACTTGTTACTTGAATTAAAAACATTCTATACAGACATCAATGTACACTCCTTGTGTCAACAGTTTCCCAGGTGAGAAGAACATTAGCAATGATTATCCAGGCAATTGACTCCTTCAGACAATTGTGGATTAATTCTAATTAACTTGTATCCATCTTTTTCTCCTCTCATATACTCTACTCATTCATTTAACAATATTTTTGGAGCTGTTACAATGTACATTAGAGGACAAAAATTAATGATATCACCTGCTTTTGAGGTACTTATCTAGTAAAAAGTAGAGTTGGTGATAAAAAAACAAATGGGATAAAGCACATTAAGTGCTAAAAGAAAAAACTCTTCTCATGTATGCATATTCAAGAAAATTCCACCCACATTTAACTTCCTTAAGGGACTAAGTCATGTCTTCTCTTTCTTTTGTATTATTCCAAAGAAGCTAGAGAATTCTGCAGCAGGCATTCAAAAAATGATGCTTCATTTTTCTTAAGAGGATAAGAAGGTCTGTGGCTTCTTAAGAATTATCTCATCTAGGATAACTTTTTTTTTTTCCCTAAGGGGTTACATGGAAAAATAATTTTTCAGTGTATAAGGAGCTTAACAGCAAAGAGTTAAGTTCCAAAGGAGAAAAGTATCTGGTCTTTTTACAGAAGTTTCTCCTAGGTTTTCATCTTAGCATAGCCATTTTTACTGGATAGCTATCTATACTGTATGATCTCCAAGTATCTTGTGCAGTACACTGACAGGAATTCAAAGTTCATCATTTATCCAGGTCTGTTCAATGTATGATTTCCTGATACACCCCAGTGCTGTTGAGTCTCTTTCCCTTCTGGGGCCAAATCCATTTTCTGGCTTCCAGATGTATTTAACAATTTGGTATCAGAACCTACCAACAAAAATGGCTGGTAACTAGAAGCAACTGATAAATATTGTTGTCCATAGTTAAGGGGTGTTCACTTTGCACTTCTTCTTACAAGAAACATCAGTTTTCTTACAAAATGAACAAAGTTCATTTAAGTTGTCTTATAAAATGAAACATCAGTTCTCTTACAAAATGAACCCTTAACTCAGAGATTCATCTGTGTCACAGTCCAGAGAGTGAATGGACTGGAAAGCAACAGGCCAATTTTATTCATTCATTCAGTATTCACTGAGGGCCTGCCGTCTGCAAGATAGCTGGGATATTATCCCATTCCCAACCTTTATAATATTCCCTTTGCCAAGAGCAATGTGGCTAGGCAACCTCAGCCAAGGTAGCATTTGCAGCATCAAACTTGGCTCTCCCATGACACAGAGGGTAACCTCAAGGAAAGGCTTCATCTGTGAAAAAGTGGGAGATTTTAGTCTCTTCATACAGATTTTGTGAGGTTCTGCTAAATCAACTGCTCAGATAAGATCAACAGTTTAAGATTTTTAGGTACCCAAAACTTTTATGTGATCATTAAAAAGAGTATGAATTTTTTTGATGAGTACTAAACTGTACTGTGTAAGGAATTTCAGAGCAGTGAAGCACAGTTGTCTGATTAATATCAGTCCATTAAAAGAGGTGTGATATAGAAAGCAACTTTGATAAAAAAAAAAAAAGAAAAATGTATACTAATGTTATGGAAAACAACTTGGCATGTTAACACAATTCTAATTTAACTAGTAAATGCCTATTCATTAGCATGTAAAGCCATACAGAAGCTACATACTTAAAAAGAAAACACATGCACACACACAAAGCTTTAATTTGGTATCATAATCTGAAAGAAATTGGACCCAAAATGCTTTATGTCCAGTTAAATCTTACTACCATCTGAAGAGATAGTGAAATAAAACAGAAACACTTACTTGTTGAGCTAGATATTCAGTTACTGTGCATTTCCATCTAGGAGTAGAAATATTTAAAAATAAATACACCACCTCAACTGAAATTCACTATTCTTACTAAACACGAATGACTTATTCCTGGGGTATATTGAATAATAATATAAAGTAGAATTTAAAATTAGTGATTGAATTCCATTCAAGAGCATGGGAAAAGAAAATGCTCCTTCCCCTATCAAACTTTAGTCATATAATTTGATCTCATTTTTTGGGAAATACAAGTATTCACAGGAAAATATTTTAAAGGGAATCCTATAGCCACCTAAAAATTAGCTCAAACAGTAGCAAAGAATGAAAGGAAGGAAATGTAAATTTGCAGGTAACAGGAAAAGAAAGTTTGTGTTAAATAAAATGACAATATCTTTGGTGCTTTGTATGTGAGAATTTCTTTTTTTTTTTTTTGTTTTTGTCTTTTTTCCCGTGTCCAGCAACGGATCGCAACCCTCAGTGTTGCCCCCGCACCGGACCGGGGACCGGCAACGGGATTGCAACCCTCGGTGTTGCTCCCGAGCCTCGCTCAGCCAGTGAGCGGGAACCGGTCGTCTGTACGTGGGATCCGAACCCTCAGGCGGGAGCGCTGCCGTGCTTCCCAAGTGGCGCACTATCCAGTGCGCCACTGGGCCGGCCCCTATGTGAGAATTTCTTTAACAAGGTAGTATGATACAAATTTAGTACTTGTTTACCCAGCAGTCTTTGATGTCAAGAGAAGACATGTGAATATCATTCTTTATGTTGGTTCTTATGACTTATCACTTTCATTTTCTCTCCACCTATTTCCTTTTGGGCCCCTGCAGTCCAATTTCTGATCCCAATTCCCCATTAATATTAAGCCTTGAAAATCAGAGATGACTTCCTCCTAGCCAAAAATGACTAGCCTTTTTAGTGGTCCCCAAATTTACTCATGGTATTTGATGTCAGTGGTCACCCCATCTTGAAAATATTCTTTTGACTTCTATTGATCTTTCACTTTCCTGTTCATAAATTCTTACCAGGGCCAGGAGGGGGTGAAGTGAGTAAAGTGCTTACGGCACAAAATTTAAAGGAAGCACTCACTTTCAGGGTCATGCAAATTGCAAGGTTCTTAGACTGTACACATCTGAATAATCAAGACCAACTGTATTTTGCACAATGAAAAGAATAAAAACACTTTGTCTCTATTTCACCTACTTTTTTTCCAAGGCAGAACATACGGCAGAGATTTGGGAACTCTCATGCCTGAAACCAGGTTACTCTTATGTTCCATAACCATGTTGCTTGCAGGGCTGAAAAAAAAAGACAAATTTGACTATGTCGACATATCTATATTCTTCAGGCAGGCACACAGACAATTGAAATGTGGTTTTTTTTTGTAATTTTGGGGAAAACAACAACGGACATTCATCTGAAATGTAAACCCATTTCCATCAAAATGTTACTGCAATCAGAATGATTACCATTTCTCTGGAATGTGCCCCATTCTGTACAGGCATTAAGATGGGTCTAACCATTTTCATTTTCCAGAAGTTGAGATAAAAAGCAATGCAGTCTACTGTTCAGCTATATGACAGGCTCATCAACTCACTCAATAAATATGAAATAAAATAAAATGCCAAGACAACCAAACCAAAGGCAGTAAATCTTGAACTGAGGTAAAATTATAGTAGTACATCATGGAAATCATCTTTAAGTTTTTCTATCTTAGTGCATATAAAATAGTATACACTTAAAACTATTAACTAACCTCAGCAACTAAGAAATAAAAAATTGATAAATATTCTATTTGGGGGAAAAATGAAGTCTAGCATGTTATTCCTTCATTTATCTAATTCAGAAATATTCTCTCATTTGGGTTTTCATTGAAACTTGATCTTCTAAGGTCTGAGTCTTGGGGGTAATAAGAAATCTTGTAGTTTTAAATTAGACATAAAATCAGTGGGAAGAGAGATGCATTTTCTTTCCTACTCAATAGGTACTCTGAATTTCCCAATCTCAAATAAAGAACTTTTAAGACAATTTTTTCCTCAGACACTAGTTACCTGGAGTAAAAATGATCCCAGTGGGGTATAGCTGGAAAAATTAAAATAATGTAAACCTAGCAAAACACCCAACTGAAACACAAGCATGTCTGGTACCACTGTTTCCCTGGCTAGACTATAAGGTAGTATTTTTGTATCCTCAGTGATTAACACAAAGCAAGCAAACTTTTCATGAATCAAGAAATAAGGGAAGGAAACCCACCAAAACAATACCTAGACTAAGCTACCGTGAAGGAACATCATCAAGGAAAGAATTCAATTCATACTTCGGTGGTGTTTTTGGTAACAGAACACTCTGATTTTGGAAGGACGTGCTGGGAATGAAATTGTTTCATTTACCTGTTGTTGCCACGGTAGTTGGCTGTGCCCCAGACAAATGGGGTACTGGTCTGTTCCCACAAATCTGCCAAAGGAAGCAAACATAGTTTGTAGTATTACTAGACACCAGTTCATGCTAGTTGCATTTGTAAGATGGGAAATAATACACCTAAGTTTGGAGAAGTAAAAATTGATCAAGTACCCTACCTAAGTGACATAGTGGCAAGAATTTAATTGAAGGATATAAACACAAGTGACATAAATAATAATAAACGTACCTAGTAAAAATCAAGCACAGAAGGTACAACACAATTTATGGAATAAAACAGATGTAAAGAGGTGCTTTTTCTAATCAAGAGGGAGAGGCTGTTCCATGTGTCTGCACAAAGATACAAATGTGCTCATTTGGAGGCCCAATAAAAATAATGATGCATTCTGAACAACATGGTATATTCATAAAAAAGGAAAATATTCCTTCTGTCTTAAGCAAATGCCTTGAGATTTAGACATTGTGAAGAAAAAGATGTAGAAGCACTTCACCTTTATCCCAGTCTTCATCACAAGGAGGGCACTCCCAAGTGCTCTCAGCTACGGTCTCTTGTCCAAGGTTCCTGGTTTGGTTAACTGCAAGACGACAGAGATTTGACATAGGGGACACTGACAAGTTATTGTGTTTAAAAGAGTTAGTAGCCTAAAAGTTTGCAGGATAGCCTAATGGTCTGTTTCTGAAGAATGGATAGTATGAAAGCTAAGATCTTATCTTTTCGCTGACAGCAGACAAGAAAGAAGCAAAAACAAAGAGGTTTACCATATTTATGGCAATAAAAGGATTTTTATTTTTATTTATTATTTTTGGGGGTGGTTGGCCAGTATAGGGATTGAACCTTGAACCTTGGTGTTATCAACATGATGCTCTAACCAACTGTGCTAACTGCCCAGCCCAGGATTTTTATTTTAGATGATTAGTAGAACAAATCAGGCTGTTCAAAAGAGAAAGCAGACTGACACACACAACCTGACAGCCTATTGTAGCTATGTGATAAAATCTCAAAGGCAGAAAAGTATTGTTCTTCTGAAATGATGAAAGCCAAAAATCAAGCTGACAATGTGTACCACAATATAAATTTGAAGGGGGCTAACCTTCAGTACTGAAATATTTTAGCTAGTCAGTCTTACCAACATCTTGCTCAATACAACTTCTGTCATCACAGCTTGTGATATGACGACTGATTTCAGTGCGAGGAACCTGGTGGCGAGCATTGAAGGGACAAGTGGCCAATTTGTTTGCAACATCAGGATGATTCTGTGGAACCAAAATAAAGAGATCTGTCAGTTCTTCGGATCTTTTCAAGTCCAATGGGAAAGGCTCAGCCTTATTCTATAAATGGTTCCCCTAAACCTGCTCAATAAACTTACAGCTTAACTATGGTAGGCAAACTCATAGTAGAAAATTAAGAGGGAATTATTTATGGTTCACACAAACCATACAGACATTACTTCAAAAATCATTAAAATGTAAGCCTCTTTGTTACAATTGTAGAGAATGACATAAAGATACTGGGGTTCAAGTCATTTATAGAGAGCTGAACAGTGAATTTAGGATTGGGTATTCGAAACATATCTTTTCCCTATTTATTAGGGTCACAACATTCAGGCGGCACAGTCTGTAATGGTAGAGAGCTCCCTGGACATATTTGAAAGCTGATATTCAGGATGAATTGTAACACTTAAATACAATTTTAGTCTGCATTGCAGTAGCGTCCCTGCTACTGCAATACAATAGTGCTGGAAAATAGCTGTTGTAAGAGAGCTGCAGAAGAGGCAAACCAATGATTTTTCAGATTAATACAGTGACACTTGTTTCAAGTAATGATCCCTGAAATGAGGCTCTGAACAATTTGACCTTTATTTCAGCTATTTCATTAAGGAAAAAGCCCAAATGATAGAGTCTACTTTGCTGGCCAAGTTCCTTATTTTAAAACAAAACAAAGAGGTTAATAGACCCCAAATTTTATGACAGATATACCAATAATTAACAAATTTATTAAGAAAAAGTTATGTCACAAATGAAACTCAAAAAATAAAAATAATGTAAAGCAGGGAGAATATAGGATGGAGAAATTTGTGATGGCAGCAATCTCCATCATTTTTATCAGGCATTCAATGCAAAGGTTTTGTGGCCTAAGATTAAGAACATTACAAGAGGGGAGTTATGACAGTGTCTTTTTATCACTTAGCTCCCTGTCCTAACCTTTATCCTTAGGAGGAGGGAGTTGTAGTGGTATCTGCTGATCCATAATTGCCCAAGTTTAACCTTAAGGGTTCCTTCCTCTGGAGATTAAAAAAAGCTAGAGAAATAATCAAAGACATATTATGTTTCCGGGTTTATAAGAGAAATATTTTTTTAAAGGATGTTAAATCTGAATTGTATGCTGTTTACATTAAATACCAAAATTGTTTCCAAGCATAAATCCTGGCAGAATTTTTGCCCTCTAGCTGACATCTGCATTCTAACAACCTTGTCAAAGTGCCTTGATTAATATGGCATTAAAGTAGTTTACATCATCTAAGTTTACAAAAGAGTGATCAGACAGAAAACCTGATTTTTTTTTTCTTTTAAAGATGCTTACTCTTGAAACTTGGAGAAACACAGAGGTAGATTCCCCAAAACAATTCTGGCATTTGATTAAAACATTTATGCTAAAATCATTTGATGTTTACAAACCCTGGCTTTTAAAAAATCCAGGAGGGCATCAGAGGACACATTAAGAAAATACCTTTCTGCACTTGATAAGATGATAAGGAAACCTGCAGGCCCTGATCTGGTGGTTTTTATCGTAGGGGCACTGTAATAGCTTTTCAGGGTCCAGGGAGTCGACTGAAAAGAGAGAAAAATACAGTAAGCATAAACTATAACAGGCCCTTGTAAAACTACAGCATTCCAGGCACACTGGATTTTTTCAACAGAATCTGTAATAATAGAACAAGACAGTTTAAAGAAAATGGATAAAAAAAATGGGGGGTGGTGAAGGGTGACTAAATATTTAAAAATGAAAATGTAACTCGGAGAAGATAAAATTGTGCTATCACCAAATCTTATTAGGTCCAGTGGAACTGGCAATTGTGGGGTGAGGTCTCAGTTTACATTTGATTGAACATAAACATTGTTTTCATTATTGGTTACCCTTTCTATAAAACAGAAAGTTAAATGAAATGACATCTACTTAAAAGTACTAACTCAGGGGCCGGCCCGTGGCTCACTCGGGAGAGTGTGGTGCTGATAACACCAAGGCCATGGGTTCGGATCCCGTATAGGGATGGCCGGTTAGCTCATTGCGTGAGCATAGTGCTGACAACACCAAGTCAAAGATTAAGATCCCCGGGCCGGCCCGTGGCTCACTCGGTAGAGTGCGGTGCTAATAACACCAAGGCCCCGGGTTCGGATCCCATATAGGGATGGCCGGTTCGCTCACTAGCTGAGCGTGGTGCTGACAACACCAAGTCAAGGGTTAAGATCCCCTTACCGGTCATCTTAAAAAAAAAAAAAAAAAAAAAAAAAAAAAAGGTACTAACTCAGGGTCATTCCTAATCTCTAGCTAGTCCAACCAGAACTTCCCAACCAGTATGCTGAAATTGGAATGGATTGCTGGTGTGCCAGTATATTGATTTGGAGGCCCACTACACCTACACATTCCCCTCCCCCCACATCAGAAGTATTAGTGGATAAAGATTTCTTGTCTGTCTTCTTTAACTTACTCCTATAAGTAGTTCCTCATCTTGGTTACTCTATATTCCTCTCAAATGAAATCAATACCTTTATCAGATAAGTGGTTTTACTTTTCATATTCTGGAACACAGGTGAGGAAAAAAACAGGAAATTCTTTAATTTAGTGATTACCAAACTGGCCAGCTTAAAAAAACAAAAGAACAATCTGCAAAAACAAAACCTCCTGAGGTTAAGGTAACTGCAAATGTATGGAACTGTTGTGTGAAAGAAAGCCCCTAACCTAACCTATAAAATGCTACCCTTAGGCAATATGAGATGTCCAGGCTAAGTACCAAATTTTAACAAGCCTGGTTAAGGAAGGGAAATTAAATGGCTAAGCACATTCTCAGTATATTATGAGGACAAGAGGCAACCTAATAAAGTGCTCTTGCCACCCTGAAGGCAATGATAAAAGTGAAATAAGATAAACAATTTACATTTGATAAGAAGCTTATAAGCCTGGAGACTGCTATGAAAATCAGAAGCCAGTGGGGAATTGAAACAGTTTCACTGGAAGAGTGGTAAACATGGAATAAATTGCTAACCATGATCGTGATGCAAATAAGCCACAAAGGTGACTTGAAGGACAGATGATTAGGAAGGAAAAGTCTTAGAGGACAGGCAGGCTTATTATGCTAACCAAGATCTTCTTGACTAGCAATCTTTTCATATTTCCGAAGCTTCAGGACACCAAGAGAGTTTACATATGAAATTCTTATTAGTTTCCTTTCATTTAATCTATTCCATCACTAGCAAACATTAGGCCATGTTAGCTGACAGACTGGATGTACCTTATGATTCCTATGCATTATAATCCCCATATAGTGGTGTATGTTAGAGTTAGTGAGAGTTTCTGACCATAAAGCCTTACTTCTTGGTTTCTGGCAATTTAGGTCAGTTCTAATCTGATTTTCTAGATTTTAAAATATTTTATTTTTAATTAAAAAAAATTTGTGACAAGTAAAATACACATAAAATTTAACATTTTAATAATTTTAAAGTGTATAGTTCAGTAGTGTTGAGTATATTCACACTGTTGTGCAATCAATCTTCAGAAATCTTTCATGCTGCAAAACTGAAACTCTATGCCCATTATACATCAACTCCCCATTCCCTACTCCCCCCAGCTCCTGGCAACCACCATTCTACTTTTTGTTTTTATGAATTTGACTATTCTGAATATGTCATATAAGCAAAATCGTACAATATTTATATTTTTGTGGCTGGGTTATTTCACTTAGCATAATGTCTTCAAAGTTCATCCATGTTATAGCATGGGGCAGGATTTCCTGTATCTTCCACTTTGCAATTTGCTTTTTTCTTTTTATGTAATGTATATTGGAACTCTTTCCAAGTCAGTATGCAAAAGAAATATTTCATTGCTGCATATGGATGCACCATAGATTTTTAATTAGTTCCCCTATGATGAACCTTTAGGTTGTTCCCAGTTTTTTACTACTGTATACAATGCTGTTACTAACAATCTAGTATATACTTCTGTGTGCACTGTAATTCTCTTGGGCAGAGACCTAAGAGTGCTGCACTGAAGTGTATGTGCATTTAAAATTGTAATAAATACTATCAAACTGCTCTGCAAAAATTTTGTCTGGCTTTCTGGAAATATAACTTACTTTGGAAAACAAAGTAGGTCCTGTTGACAAGCTTCCTCCAAAAGTATACTCAGCTGTTCTTTATATTTGGGTAAGACCTAGAACCCATGGTGAGAAATGGAGAAAACTTCATGGAAATAAGGAAGTAGGCCTGACAAAGTATCATCAGCTAAGAGGTACAGAAGCTGAAGATCTTCAGGGATCTATCAGATTAAGGTTGGAGTTCCAGGTCAATTTGGGAAAGAGGTCAAGTATATTCTAAGGCAGCATTTCTCAAACTTTAACATGATCCCCAGGTATTAAATCACTTAGGGATTGTTAGCAGATTCTGATTCAGTAGGTCTGGAATGGGGCCTGAGATTGTAAAGTATTTTCTAAGGCAGCATTTCTAACATTCTACCAGGTGATTTTTTTTTTTTAAAGGAAAAGTAATTGTGGCTGAAAAAAGTAAGAACTGAGAGACAGAAAGGGAGACGTTGCTTTCTAATTTAACAGAGTAGTAAGCTTCCAAGAATAAATATATATACCATACAGAAATTTCATATTTTAAGCAAAAATGTTTTAAGAAAAATTAAGAGGCAAGGGAGCTCTAAGGAAGATCAAGGAGAATCAGCCTTCTAGATGACTGATTTTCAAAGTGTGATCCTCAGATCAGCAACATCAGCATCAACCTGGGAACTTGTTAGAAATGCAAATTCTAAGATCCCATACCTTCTGACTCAAAAACTCTGGGGGTGGGACTCAACAACCTGTGTTTTAACAAGCCCTCCAGGTGATTCTGCTGCATGCTAAAGTTTGAGAACCACTGTGTTCGAGATATTTAATAAAATAAGATTATTTCTATGTAGTTTCTATATTTTGGAGGTAAAGATTTCCACTGGACTCTTCCTACAAGGTAGGATGGGGCTAAAATATTCTTTTGTTGGATAACATTATAAGGAGATTCTGAACAAGACAGCAAAGTAGGAAAATAAAGTAGGCCCTGTTGACAAGTTTTATTTGCAGGCATTGACTCATAGTCCTCAAATATGGTCAGGGCCTAGAAATCATAGTGTCTATGGTATCAAGTAAGGTATTAGGTATAAACAATATAGAAGACTCTGGTTCTGACTCTGTCCCTAACTAACCAGGTAACCTTGGGCAAATAAATTAATCTAAGTTCTATTTTGTTGTAATAAGTTAACGTAATTTTTCAGGTCCCTTTTGATTCTACACTTGTATGATTCTAGATGCTGGCTCCCCTTTGATTTTTTTGGGCCATTTAAGGTTCCAGGATCACTTGAGAAATAAGAATCCTTCCCAGGATTTATCTAAAAACTCAACATACATCAATATGATTATGCATACCATGTTACCCATCAAAATGGAAAGGTTACTACTTCTTTGTCATACGAGAAGCTGAAGTCCTAAGGAGGTAAAAATGCCTCATTTAATAAAAATATAGTTTCACAGAGGTGTCTTAACTGCAGCCTTTTCAAACTTCTATGACTTCCCATACCTCTTTAATTAAATTTCAAATGCTTTATTTCAAATTTGGGCACTTCTCTACATCAATAACACACAGACCTTTCCTCCTCAGCAGTTCAGGAAGAAATATGAATTTTTTCCAACACACTAAAAGTTGCAGACACAGAACCATACGTAAATGATTTAACTTATTTTCTAAAAGCAACAAGAAGTACATACTGTAAGTTTCTTCCATACTAGAAATGAGGGCGCTGAATCCAAGTGCTGGAAAAAAAAAAAAAAAGTATGGTTTAGGGAATCAGAAATGAAACGTACCGAAAGGTAGCCCTAGGAAGTGGAGTCACTTCTGGAATTGAAGTTACCCAAGTTCTATAAAAAAAACAAAACAAAACCCTTAGTTCCTTGTGTCCCCCCCCAACATTTTCTCCTCTTTAAAACATTCTTTACTTCTTTGAAACATTTTAACATCATTGTGTAATTCGCATTCTTGTAATAAATTCTAGGGCCTGCCAATCATTTAAACTACTAATTTAAACTGTATTTTGGTGATAAGATGTCACTCTATTTTAAATGCTGTTAAAAGTCTATTACCATCTATTAGGTTTGATGGTATTTAACATTAGAGAGGACAAGTCAAACCACAAGAATACTGTTATTTAAACTTCTGGATAAACACTGGAATAGTGTACTTTTAATTTTTTAATTTAAAGCTCAGGAGACAATAGGGTACTGTTTTAAAGCTCTCCTCTCAAGTTCTTAAAAATATAATAGGACAGGCAGGCTACCAGCCTTGCTGCTCTTTGGGATCTGAGAATGCCGGAAACCTATGTCAGACAGCTCACAACCCATCCAATTTGCTTAGAGACATTCTACTTTACCAACTCTTCTTAAAAATGATCAAGAAGTGACACACTGACATTCCCCTTTTTCTAGTGATGTTTCATTTTTCTTCCCTCAAGGTCCTATGCAAAAATGGCAAGACTTGCTGATTTAAGCCTCTTCAGTTAATACTCATTTCCTTTATGTACTGAGGGAAAACTTCTGAATGTTAGGACTTAAGAACTGTCCATATAATGGATAGCAGAGTCATAAGAGAACAAATCTGTAACAGAAATGTGAAAATAAATGGTTTCACAGTTTGAATTCTCTTTTTTTTTTTTTTTTTGTCCTTTTTGAGTGAGACAGGCCGCACCGCGCTCAGCCAGTGAGCGCACCGGCCATCCCCATATAGGATCCGAACACGGTGGGAGCGCTGCTGTGCTCCCAGCGCCGCACTCTCCCGAGTGCGCCACGGGCTTGGCCCTGAATTCTCTTCTACTGGAGATCTTTATTGAGCATTGTGACTAAAATTATGGGAAAAAAACTTAATTTATATTAAACTACCCCCATAGGAAACTTCTGGAAAATGGCTAGATTTACAGCTGTTGTCTCTAGAGCAAGCTCTCCTTTGGCCCTTCCCACAATTCCACACCCCTTCCCCCATTCTATGACATAAGCAATGTTGGAACCTATGACAGAAAATACAAGTGATCAGCTGGAACTCTAGTAATTTGCTGCAAAGGCTATTTGTTAATGATAATCATTAGTAAAACTGTCTTAAAAAATATCTGTCATGTTTGGATGAAGAAATCCTGACTTTTTTTTTTTTGACACGTTTTACTTATCCATAGTTACTTCATACTTCTTCATTACAAATTAGAGGTTTGTTAGGAAGAACCAAGTATTATGTTTCTTGGGTTTAAGTCATATAAAAGAGTGATGAGCACCAGATCCAGCAGCTTCTAGGAAGCCGACCTTGTCTTCCAGGGTTAAAAAAAAAAAAAAAAAACAACGTAATTACAGTACACTAAGGGCACTAGAATTCATAGTATCATCATTCAGTCATGTCCCTTTAAGTATCTTCCACATCAAAGTGTTAACAGGGGACTCTTCACCTTTTCCTTAGTATTAGACCACAGTGAAATGGACAAACTACACGAATCAGTCAAGTTTGGGGGCTGGATGTAGATGGAGTTCCTGGTTAAACTCTTAACAGAGCTCGGGCGGGGCCTCAGTAAAAGAATCATTTTTCTTCCTTTAAACAAAAAAATCTGAGTAGACTTAAACAAAGGGACTAAATAGGAGAAGGTGGTTAACTTAGAAAGAACGTAGAAAGACGCTAGGGAGGCCCTGCGGAGCGGAACCGGACGGCCGGTAGCCAGAACAGCTGCGTAGAGCCCACAAGGCCGAAGGCTACCGGCCCAAATCGGAAAGGGAAAAGAGACGACACTAGATAGCGAAGGATCCCAGGACAGTAAAGGTGAATGGTTCCGAGGCGCCAAGCAAGAGCCCACACGCCTTTCTTACCTCAGCCCCCACACACTCTCCCCACACAGGACTCGGCCTCACATCCGTGCCCCAGCAACGCTCACTTCCGGTGCCTCACGTTGGGGGGTGGGGCCCCCACTTCCTGTGACGAGCAGCGTCGACGCTGGCTGAGCGTGAGGCAGTGATATCAGCTGTGGGCCTGCCGGGCCTTTAGTCTTTGGGCCCTTCCCCCCCCCCCCCCCCGGGGGGCCCTTCTCGAGCCCGTCTCTATTAGTCCATCCTCCTCTGGCCCCCAGAATGATGGCGGATTTGCGTGGGTGGAACTTGTACTTCCTTCCCTGGGCTTTGTGGTGGCCATCTTAGGAAAGAGACCTGGGCACTTGAAGGAATGGGCCTAGTTAGAGGTCTTCCTGGAAAGAAACCTTGTCTGTGAAAGTTGTCTAGATAGAAAGGGAACTTACATTTTGAGGGGAGATAAGAGGAATTATAAAGGAGATAGGCAGAACAGCCAAAAAACAATCACCAAGGACAGGAATTCTTTGTAGCTAGTTTTTGTTTAGCATAATGTTGTAGAGTCTCCAAATTCAAGAGGCAATAATAGTATCAGAGTGCTTGGTAAGAAGATGGATGCCCTAGTCAGATTAAAGGGAGTTTTAGGATTGGGGGGGAGAGCTCGATGAAAAGAGTTGGAGAGAACAAGAGGGACAGAAAGCTACAGATTCATAGTGGAAAGCCAAACATACTGAGCTTTTGTTCTGAAAACTGTGATCCTCCCGCCTCCACCTCACAAAAGCATAAGAACCAGTGTTTATCCCCAAAGTATTTAGAAAAGATCCCAAGGTGGGTGAAAGTTTAGATGGCAGTACAACAGCTGCTAAGAAAGTGTTAGACTATATTCCTATAAGGAAGTAATAGTGGGGCCTGAAATGACCTAGAAAGGCATGAAAAAAAGACTTATGGCCGTTGAAGGTTAGACAGAAAAAAAGTTGTCAACACTACACATAAATCTGGATATTTTTCAGAACCAGGAAATAAAAGATGTGATAAGACAAAAACCGTTGTGTTGTCTAAGGTATAAGAAGCAGTCTGGGAGATTAGTCTGGTTGCTGAAATAAAGAAGTGACACACTGACATTCCCCTTTTTCTAGTGATGTTTCATTTTTCTTCCCTCAAGGTCCTATGCAAAAATGGCAAGACTTGCTGATTTAAGCCTCTTCAGTTAATACTCATTTCCTTTATGTACTGAGGGAAAACTTCTGAATGTTAGGACTTAAGAACTGTCCATATAATGGATAGCAGAGTCATAAGAGAACAAATCTGTAACAGAAATGTGAAAATAAATGGTTTCACAGTTTGAATTCTCTTTTTTTTTTTTTTTTTTTTTTTT